CAGAAAGCAGAGCAGATTTTAAAATAAGCGCCGGCAGATTTTGAAAATTTTCGCCGCCGGAGATCATCGTCCCTGGATCACGGGAATATTATTTATACAGTATACAGTAAGATCGGCAACGTGCATGAATTGAATCATGTGAAAAACCGCGCCCAGAAAACCGACGTGAATCAATTACGTGTTTGATGTCATGTGATGATATGATGAGATTGACAGGATTGTGTGACAACCATCAATATACAGTAATTACCCCCATGTTTATAACTTCTTTCCATATACCGTACACTTCAATGGAATCTGTTTACGAAGGTATCTTTTTGCGAGTTTTGTCTTTAGGTATTTGTCGTCTTAATTACAAAAAAATTTTCTTTCCTGCTAGAACCACAAATATTCGATAAAGATTACTTTAATTGTAACAACAGCTGGACTTTACTAGACTTCCTTAAATACCGCCAGAAACAGAGTGATTTTCAGCTTGATAAAAAAGAAGAACACGCCCGATATATTCGTAACCTCTCAAACATATTGAAAGGGAAACAAGTTACCAAGTATGCAGTAAAACTAGCTGGAGATGCGCTTTCTATATTTGAGGTCAAGTAATTTTTTCTTTTGGCTTGGCAGTGGGTGGGTTCGAGGGATGATAGTCCTTCGGATGGGATTACGATCTGCGTTCAACCACCCACACTTCCTGATTACGATCGGGAGGTGATGATCTACGGCTCGTGGTGGTTCCACCCTGTTTGTGATTTTTCTTTCTGGTTGTCAGTGGACAGGTCTGAAGGACAATAGCCTTTCGGATGGGATTACGATCTGTGTTCAACCACCCACACTTCCTGATTACGATCGGGAGGTGATGATCTACGGCTCGTGGTGGTTCTGTCCTGAATCCAGTTTATGTCAACCTCAAAAAGGACTACTTCTTTTAGCTGTTACTAATGTCATATCTTTTAATATAATAGAATGAAAAGAAATCAGAACTAATCAAAGAATTTTGGAAAAATATCATTTCATCGCAAAAACGGCAAATTACGGCAATAAGCGAACGTACAGCATTGATGGTATGGTGCATTTGTTCCTCTAGGAAGAGTATGGCGTGATGAAATACTAATACGTTCAGTTCTATTATAGGAGGAACACGCCACTGTCGTATTGAACTTAACTTCTCAACAAGACCGAATCATACGAGAAAATTTTACAAAACGTCTAGAGAATTCGGATACCGGTGCAGATGATGATCGCAAACGTAAACGTGAACAAGGAAACGAAGACGAAATTGAACAACAAGTTACTCCGAAAAATAAGGTATGAACAAGATCCGGAATCAAATGATGATTCAACTGATGATTCAAGTTATGAAATTCAAAAACCATACTCTCCTGAAGATCCTTTCTCTGAAGATACTGAAGACGAAAACGGTGTTATTACTAATGTTCCCCTGAGTTTTACACCATTGGAGAGCTCGGAATCCGATTTATTTGTAAATGGTGTTAATCTATCAGAGAAATTTAGAACATATATCAATGAAGCGATATTACACGCTAATGAAAAGGGCCTATATGTCGAGTCACACACTCACGAAATCTTATCGCTGTCATCTATACTTGTTCTCATACCGAACTCCTACTCTACTAAAATGGTTGAAGTGTTTGGTTTAGATTTATTGGAACTAACTCATCAAAAATATACACCGAAATTATCTCTACGATTAGATATAGAGATCGAGAACATATATAGAAGTGTTATAAAAACCTGTCTGGTTGAATCGCGCATCAATGGTATCAAATTACTTTGTACGAAGCTTGTAGAAAGGAGTGAATTGATGGATAATTTCGGTTTTTGATCCAAGATTTGATAAGAACTCTGCCATATGAAAAAATAAGAAATGATCCGAGCGAATTAACCCTAATAACAAATTATTTAGACAGCATCATGAAAAATGCTTTTCATGTTCCTGATAACCATATAGTACAATGGCCAAACACAGCATTATCGGAAAGTAAAGTAAGGAAATTCGATGGTTCAAGGGCGAAACAGCCGGACTTTGTTGTTTCAATTAACTATCAATCCCAATCAGCAAATGTAATCTACGTGGGTGAAGTGACTGGGCCAGCTGAGAAAAACAACGTTTTCAAAAATTGTCTTGACCTGATCAGAATTGGAGTTTTTATGAAGGATCTTGTTGATTCAGCAATTTCTCGAAATGCAGAGATCAAGATATTAGGTTTCCAATGTGTTGGATATAAAATAGATTTCTATGTGCTTGATCTGAAAGGGAATGGAATATATGTAATGAATCACATTGCACAGATATCAATACCTGCGACTATTAGAGACTTATTTATTTTGATAGATGAACTTTATGTTCTGTTAAATGTACGGAGTATCTTATTAGAGTCTTATGATACTTTTATCAGTAACCTTAAAAATCCAGGTTTATCTCCATTAAAGACGAAGTTATCATTTAAAAGGAAAACACTAGATACTCCCAAATTTAACAAACTTGTTAGTAAAACCCGCAGTGTCAAAAGGGAGTGTCTATTATGGTATGGACGATACTGATGTGTAATTTATTCATTTTTTCTGATGGTTTGTTTTATTGACGAAGCTAGTATTATAATGTTTTCCTTTCTAGTCAACATGAGTATATCTAGGTCTTGAATATATGCCAAACTGCGAAATATTTAGTAGACTACTGTATATCAATATTAATAAAGTTTCGAGCTTGTGATTTTTTAATGGGTGTTAAATATACTTTACTATTTTATGTGTCATTGTATCGTGCACAGATGATTATGTAATGGACATTCAAATTTAATTTTATTCAAGAACTTGCCGAAGTTTTTTCCATGCTTAGAAAACTGTTTTATTTAAAGTTAATTGATTATGGGGCTTGTATTTTTTTTAAACATGTGTGTGCATAGATGCAGATATGTAGCTATATATTGAAAAAAAAATTCAATAAGAACAATTTTCTATCTTTTGCAGTGTATACATTGAAAATTTTAACTCCAAATTTTTTCCTTGCAAAAAGTGATCGGCATTCTGAAACAGAAATAAGTGCATTATGAAATGTGAATTGTCAGGAGGCACTTTTTGCATTGCGATTTTGTCTTACCTCTATCTCCTTCTGCAGGTTTAATGGAGTGTCAAACCTTAACCGAATTGCAAGAGGATCGTCCTGGCTGTAATTGATCCTGTTCTAGATATGTGAAAAGGTATTTCGGATTCCAGGCATATTTTTTCTGCACAGGAGAAATTGTTTCATTGCTAAGATGCATATATGCATGTCTCTCAAGTCTATTCGGATTCCAAAAATAAAAATCTTTCTCTGATTCTTAAACGAATCACGAATTAATTTTTTATGAGAAAAAAGAAACGAATTAATAAAAAAATTTGCTATCTGTATCATGTGATAAAAACCGTTAGTGACCATTGATCACGCGATCAGAGCCTAAGCAATCCCCTACCAGATGTGACGCAATTCGTGATATAGGCGCGTAAAGAATATAGTAGTACCACTATAGTCTATAGATGAATTTTGCATGCAAACTTTTTTTTGCGCAAAACTATATCTAATAAAATGTTTCATTCTGACTATAAACATATTATTGATAGATTACCTGAAAGTCTTATTAAAAGAGCGTGCGAGAGACTCTTATACCATTCCAAAGATCCTATTCCATTAGAATCTATTTCTAGAAAGTCCAAACGAATTGAATCTTATTTGAGACACACATTAGAGATTTATGAGAATTCATTAAATAGGAAACGCAAAA